TGTTATAACAGTGACAAAGCAAAACAAAAACATCAGTGTCTTCACAAATTACTTTAACAGATTTTTTTCCATCGGCTATTGCTTCTGATACTTGGTAAGGGATAATCACATCAGCTTCCTCCTGTCTTGACTTTAGATCATTTCTTATCGTCTGAACTCCTAAATGTACTTGATATGGTGTTTCAGCTTCTGCTGTAATGATCAGTTTGTTTGAATAGTTTGGAATATTCTTGAGCAAGTCATCTTTTGCCATCTCAATTAATTGCTTTTTAGTATCTGTCACTTTCATGGCTACCTCTTTTGCTGGAAGAGGACTTGAAGAACTAAGGTTATGAGATCGTCGGAATTGAGATAACCTTTCTTGTCTGGTATCTGATTTAATGCTATAATCATGGTACCTGTCAAACACAAGATAAACATCTGTTTGAGCTAAGATCTTTAAAATATACGATCGTAAAGAAACCAGTATGTGTTTAAAGATGCATAAGTTTTCCTGTGGAGCACCATCCATTTTGTAATTTTTTTTTATTCGTTCATAATTATTATTTTATTGTACTAAAAGAACACAAAAAGAATCTAAAAAAAGAAGATATTGTAAAAGACAAAGTTAAAAGACAAAGATCTTGACTAACGCAGAATTATCAATAAAAAAATCTTATCGATAAATTTCTCAAACCTTTAAACCTTTTAACTTTGAGGCTGTTTCTAAAAATTTAGGTATGTTTGTACCGACCTAAAAATAATTAAACAGTAGACATGAGACTTTACATCAAATACACGAGTTTGATTATGCAACTACTTATATGGTGTATCTAAAAGTGACAATATATAGCTTCTCTTGGAAGAAACGATCAGAAAAAATAAAATCCAAAAACTAAGACAAATTTTTAGTGATTTTGCTACTTTATTGTTCTCTAGCACAGCTGGTACCTAAATTTTTTAAAATGGTGATGATGTAGCATTTTGTGCATAAAAGTCCATGCATGTGTTGACTTTCTTGTTTTTTTTTAAATAATTGATTTTTGTCACTGTTTCATAGAACTTAAGGAAACCTTCACAGAGAAAAAAAATGTTGCTGTTTTCAAACATTTTACTGCCAACAGCACGCGACAATGCTATAAAGTACTAAAAATCACTAATGGTTTTGTTATATCTTTTTTTTGCAATGGCATCAATCCTGCTTTAATGCGGGGGAACAACCATATTCATGTACTCATATACCAGTCTAATTTCTTTTCAAAACAATTTCCCTTTCAAAAGAAATCAGGCTGGCATGATAGAATATAATATGGTCCCCTTCAATTAACAATGGATTGATGTCCGTGCTTTTTTGACAAAGTTTGTATAATTAGGTACTGTGAATAAGTTATGAAAAGATTTTTAATGGATACCGGTTAGCAATCGATAAAAGCACACAATGCTTCATCAGTTGTACACCTCTTTTTATTCTTTCTTCCAATAGGAAAATTGCATGGAAGGAGACCAATCGCAGCATTTCTTTTCTCTTCATCTATAAAGTAGTTTATAAATAAAAGTCAGTGTGTTTGGAGTTTAGATGAAGAAAGTATTTCATGTATCATATATGTTTCATGCATCATGTAACCGTTTTTGCAATTTTTACCGTAATTCAGGTTACTTGTTGCAATATTCAAGTATTTTGAACATTCTTCTGTTTGTGTATCTGCGTAACAAATTATTTTCTCCACTGTTTCTGGTGTAAATCGCAGAAAAAGGTTATCCACGACATCTGGATACAATGTTGCAAAGTCTATTTCAACTTGAATAAATTTTTGAAAAAGATTTGGTTAGCCGTACAAGACGATGTATAACTAAAGAACGTTTAAGAATTTCTCTTTACCATGCCAGGGACGTCAAAAAGATGAGGGTATTCTTTCATAACCTCTCGTATTGTAAGTTGTGGCGTTTTTCTAATCCATTCTGATCGATTTAATACGGTCTTCTGCATATAACTTTTTAAAGTTGAAATAGGCTCACAGTTGTCTTTCATCCACTGCTTCATTCCAGCATGGTCAGATTCATTTAAGACTGGCTCTTTTTTTTAAAAAAAAGCAAATTTTCTACTTGCACCATCAAATAAACTTCTAATATCTTTTTATTGATCCTGTTGACTGACCTGAATTTTTCAGGTTAATGAGACAATTGCAGAAGAAAATAAACTTCTAATACAATGATCTAGTACCCATTCTACTAGATACCTGACTCAGCCAAATTTGTATAGTAATGAGTGAGGCAAATTTCTACGAAGTTTGTATTGCGTCCATTTTCTTGTAGGTATAACTTCACTTAGAACCACGCGAATAAAGGAGGTATCCGCTGTACACTGGTAAAGACAACTCAGAAATAGTACATAGTAAAACAGGAATCGTATGAATTCGATCATTAATAAAAGCTCTGGAATCACTAATATAGAACCTAAAAAACACGAATAATTTAATCCAATAAAATTTAAACGATCGATACCATGAACAAGAAACGCCTGTACGTGAGGTTACAAGGGATTAGAACTTTGATTTATAGAAGTATAACCATCGTGGTTATACATACCATTTTCCGGTATGTTTTATAATATCTGAAATTTTACTAATTTTCTCATTTGGTTTACACCATAGTGACACACAAACACAAAATTTTAAGTCCTCGTAAAAATTTACTTGTTTTTTTATCCATCATTTCATCATGGTTATACATACCATTTTCTGGTATGTTTTATAATATCTGAAATTTTACTAATTTTCTCATTTGGTTTACACCATAGTGACAAACAAACACGAAATTTTAAGTCCTCGTAAAAATTTACTTGTTTTTTATCCATCATTTCATCATGGTTATACATACCATTTTCCGGTATGTTTTATAATATCTGAAATTTTACTAATTTTCTCATTTGGTTTACACCATAGTGTCACAAACACGAAATTTTAAGTCCTCGTAAAAATTTACTTGTTTTTTATCCATCATTTCATCATGGTTATACATACCATTTTCCGGTATGTTTTATAATATCTGAAATTTTACTAATTTTCTCATTTGGTTTACACCATAGTGACGCACAAACACGAAATTTTAAGTCCTCGTAAAAATTTACTTGTTTTTTATCCATCATTTCATCATGGTTATACATACCATTTTCCGGTATGTATTATAATATCTGAAATTTTACTAATTTTCTCATTTGGTTTACACCATAGTGACAAACAAACACGAAATTTTAAGTCCTTGTAAAAATTTACTTGTTTTTAGCCATTATTTCATCATGGTTATACATACCATTTTCCGGTATGTTTTATAATCTCTGAAATTTTACTAATTTTCTCATCTGGTTTACACCATTGTATCGCACAAACACAAAATTTTAAGTCCTCGTAAAAATTTACTTGTTTTTTATCCATCATTTCATCATGGTTATACATACCATTTTCTGGTATGTTTTTTAATATCTGAAATTTTACTAATTTTCTCATTTGGTTTACACCATAGTGACACACAAACACGAAATTTTAAGTCCTCGTAAAATTTACTTGTTTTTTATCCATCATTTCATCATGGTTATACATACCATTTTCCGGTATGTTTTATAATATCTGAAATTTTACTAATTTTCTCATTTGGTTTACACCATAGTGACACACAAACACGAAATTTTAAGTCCTCGTAAAAATTTACTTGTTTTTAGCCATCATTTCATCATGGTTATACATACCATTTTCCGGTATGTTTTATAATATTTGAAATTTTACTAATTTTCTCATCTTGTTTACACCATTGTGTCGCACAAACACGAAATTTTATGTCCTCGTAAAAATTTACTTGTTTTTAGCCATCATTTCATCATGGTTATACATACCATTTTCCGGTATGTTTTATAATATCTGAAATTTTACTAATTTTCTCATTTTGTTTACACCATTGTGTCGCACAAACACAAAATTTTATGTCCTCGTAAAAATATACTTGTTTTTAGCCATCATTTCATCATGGTTATACATACCATTTTCCGGTATGTTTTATAATATCTGAAATTTTACTAATTTTCTCATTTGGTTTACACCATAGTGACACACAAACACGAAATTTTCAGTCCTCGTAAAAATTTACTTGTTTTTTATCCATCATTTCATCATGGTTATACATACCATTTTCCGGTATGTTTTATAATATCTGAAATTTTACTAATTTTCTCACCTGGTTTACACAATAGTGTCACGGAGTTTGTCATTTCCTTTTACAAAAACACTAATGTGACAGATCACACTTAAATTCTTTGACGCAGGATAAATAAATAGCTGCATCTCAATCCGTTATAAATTACTTGGCACCGAAAACATTTGCTTTAATATTTCTGCAAGGTTTGTTAGAATTTGATTAGGTCGCCTATTTACTGAAAATTGCTTCAAATTATTGTTGAGATGTCTTCTAATATAAAAAGTAAAGTAAATTCACGAGGTGAAAAGTTTATTCTAAAAAGCAAGAGACCGGTAAGATTATGTGTACGTTGACAGTAAATGAATTCTCAACCAGAGTTCTATCTGAACGTCATGTTTATTTTTGAAGAAAAAAGAGCTATCGATTTCTCAAAGTGAAGCGCACAATGTGTACAGAAAGAAAAAACGTATTGCAGACAGGGTAAAAGAATGATAAACTTTTTGTACCCTCTTTGATTAATGCAGAAAATATTGACTAAATTTGAAATGTAACAGCTATAAATCACATGCTCTATAAATATTTTTAGATTGATCTAATGTCATCGGAGTAGAGCCTCAATCCGATGGTTTTGCTATATCTTGATGGACATGGAACGGTTAAAGCTGCAGGTAATTCTTCTATCAAAAATATTTTAGACTTGTGTAGAAGTTAAGAATTGAATTGGATTATTTTAGTGTTTAAATACGATTGTCGGTATAGAAGTAATGTAATCAATTCATTTAAAAAGGAACGCCCGGCCTTCGTCGAGAAATCTTGAATATTTCCCGAGATGCCGTGTGCAAATATGTTGAAGACAATTCTTTGATTACAACTGACTCCCCAAGTACTAACTTTTATTTTGTTGTTTCTAAATTGTATAAAAAAACAAATAAAGGTGTCACAATGCTGCAATAAAGTCTGTATCATTTTATATTAGAAAGCTGTGAAGACGTTTATCAAGTGCAGGAGATACGCTCTGATCTTGTTGATCCTGATGCTTTGGAAGAAATAAAACAAGGGACTTGGTCGTGCAAAGAGCTACGGAAACTGGTTTTAAATATGGTTCTCCCAAGAACAGCTGACATCGGTAAAACTATTTTTGTATATTTGAGTAACTAATTTCTGATATACAACGGCAGACCTCGTGAATTCAAGATTGGTTTTAGACAAGAAAGGAAAACGGAAGTGGAAAGTGGCTAGAGTGAGAGACTTTTGGCTTAAAGGACATGGGACGTATATTTTAAGTTAGGCTTAATTAACGGGAAATATAGCATAGACTTATAATATACCTTTGTTAGTTCAACCAAAGTTTTTGTCTTCATGTAACAAAGATTTTCTGACTCCAATTTAAAAGTTCCATGGCCATTTTGATTTGTTTTGAATATAATGTGATATGCAGATTTATGCAATGACGTCACAACTGGGAGGCATATCTGGTAACACAATATACTTTTATATGTGTTTTGATGAAGTCATTGTGAATTATTCTTAAAAAAACGTTTTTTCACACTTTTTTTACATCATGTACATGCAATATATATAATGAAATAAATAAAGAAAAATAAGTTATATATTTATATATTCAGTCTACATTTTGTATGGTTGTATCGGAGCTTGTTCGTGTCCATGTTCATTTCCACTCGTAGGAAATCGTAGACGATTAAAAACATCAACAAATATGACAGCTAAAGCTTCATGAAACATATTCGCCAAAGTCTGAGAGATGATTACAAATAAAAGAAAGTTTTAAGAATTGTATTTTTGTAGACAGCAGATTTTGTTGTAAATTGTAATGTTATGTTGTGTAGTGTGTGACTGTGTCATATTATAGATTATAAGATATAACGGATATTATGTTGATGTAAAATAGTATAGTCATAAAAATAGTACAGCCAAAAAATGAAGTCATTCTTCGCAGACACAGTAGATTTACAACGCCTGCTTTGCCCGACGATAAAATAAATGACACAGTATGTCTTTGCAAGGGAAAATGTGCTACAAGCCGATGTTATTGTAGGAATAAGAATCGTCCATGTACGGAAAGTTGTGGTTGCCAAACCATGAAATGCAACAATACATGATGAAAATTTAAAAGCCTTGAAATCGCAAATACCTCAAATCCAATTTCAATTTACTTGGCATATTTGAAATGAGTGTAAAGTGCATCAGATGACCAATACTTCCCTCGTATGCATTTGTACATGCAAGATGGAAATGGCCTTCGACATTTCTTGCCAAGAATATGGAAAATCCATCTCGAACATCTTCGATCACGCAACATGACGGTATATTTTTGTATGACTGCAAGTTCGTCATCACCTAACGGACTGTTTTCTTCAATATACTGCCAAGTATCTATTTCAAGGACATTTGCCGATATGTTTTGATTGAAGAAAGCAAGTTCAGTCACAAGACAAGCCTGCATCCTGTGCCGATTTAAGTTTGCCATCATATTCGTCATGTTCAACCGCTTTTCATGAAAGCAAAAGCATTCAATCGTTTTGCCATAAACTCACAATGGCCGCATTTACAGCAACTGAGTGAAGTTTTACGCCAACTATACATAGCTTCAAACTCCTCGTCTATCTGATCATCTACTTCGCTCGACGAAGAACTTTCTGAGTCAGAATTCTCACTCTCTACAAATTCATCTGGCATTGACTCAAACATATATGACTGAACCATAGCATCTTTGTTAATATTTTCCATTTTGAGTGCAGTAACAGCAGTGTAAAGTCCCAAACTTTGCGTAATAAATGAGAATGCTTGTCAATTTGCAATATAAACAATATTCATCAGCGACAAAGTCTCCCTGTTGTGACGTCACATATGAAATATAATTATTTTGGCTGCTCATTTCAAGATGGCGGAACAGCCCTTGAAATAAGCAAACTTTCATTCTAAATTGCGCTTTAAATATATATTTTCAAACCGGAAAAATAATGTTTTACGGAATACTAAACTGCAATGAATGATATCGCGACATGAAAATATATATGTCCCATGTCCTTTAAAGCAGAGAAACCGTTGTTTTGGCCTCCTCACATCCCATTTGTTTCGCCATCTGCCAGGATTAATCAGCCTTCAGGTAAATCAAGTGAATCAATCTTCAATATTTTCATTGTTTTTATTTACATATTGTACACCATTCTCAGAGGATGATTACGATGAAGAAGAATTTGATGATAAAACAGAACGCTCGAGAAAAATTTTAAATAAGAAAGAACTGATAGAGATCGCTCTATCGTATGGAGAATACGTTCATGAAGTGAGTATTATTGTTGTAGATTTAGTATATAGAAGACAACTCACTGCTTCTCTTAACTTTTGTTTAATTAGTTTACTGGACATGAAAAAAATGAAGAGACAACACAATCATTTGGTCAAGGAAGACAAGAGGTACACACTAACCATCTTTTAAGAAATAATATAAGAACATTTAAACACGAACTGCTATTTGCTTTTATTCCCAAGAAAACTAATCGAGATGCGAATGTTGGAAAAGATACGTATACAAGCGAAGAAGATAAAAGAAGTGATGAGAGCGAGAAAAGAAGATTTCAAAACAAATTTGTTGATAACGAAGCTGCATTAAATAACATAAAAGAGGATGAAAGGGTAAATGAACGTCCAGGAAATTACAAAAAACAGCGTACCAAAAATGAACGTTTTTTTCTATACCCATCAGGAAGAGGATACACAATTAGTGCATTTACAACAGATGAGAGACATGCACGAAAAAGTAAGAAAACTTTTAGAAACTCACATTTATTTTTTTAAATTTCAAAACGATACCACAATCCATTTTAGAGAGAAATAGCTTGTATTGTTCGCGCAATGTTAAAAGACCCCCTAAAATATGTTGAAACAGCCTACGAATTGTTGGACTTAGCTGATACACATCAACATCCTATTACGAAAAATTTAAAGTATGAAATGCTAATGTTTATTGACTGATTGGACGGTTCTAATCTAAATGACAATTTGTTGATTCCTTAATAATATTTGAGTAGGTCACACGAAAAAGACCTCATGGGCGTTCCACATGATTACAACACAAGTTGTCCTGGAGACATTTTCAACGCTTTAAGCATTGATCCCAATAGACTTCAACTCGATTCATTTCTATAATGAGTTGCACATCAATGTCATTTGGCATCCAGTAATATTTTGCTCTGTAAATCTCTAAGTTTTTTATTTATAAAAGAAACACATCTTTTCTAGCTCACGACAAACAAGTAAAGCAATTTTAAATGAAGAAATTATAAAAGAAATACGAGATTTCAACACTGAAGGTGAACATTCTCAAAATTCAAATCACGAAGAAAATTCTTTAATATTAAACAAATTTAGAAAACCTACATGACAAGCAAATTATTCCCTTTTTTAGAGGTTACCCTTACTAACACGCATGTTCAATGAATTGCTGGAGCACTTCGTGCGTCATTGGAAATATGGAGTCCCCAGTTTGAACTATTCCATATCTATTTTCCGTGTTTATGCCAAGTTATGGACAATGGAGGAATAGGCTACTTTAGTTTGACAGCTGGCAAAACTTTTCAAAATAGTTATGTATTTATTGAGCAAACATCTGAAAAGAGACCGACTAGAAGAAAAAAGCCAGCAACTACAATCAGGTCAATAAAAAATTGAATGTCTCATGTAAATGTTTCTATTGGATATGTGAAGAAAATTCCTGACGATAATAGAAAACTATATCTTTGACAGGAAAGAATGCAGTGAAGAGAGTGAAAGGTGACATTCATATATTGAAAATATTTGACATTCATATATTGAAAATATAAGTCTGTGTTGAGAGAAATCGACTTTGAGAGCGTTTTATGATGCTGTTATACTGAAGTTGCATTAAAATGGTGAGTAATTTCTTTAATATTGTTAAAATGTGTAAAATTTTTAAATACTTGAGATAGAGCGGTCTTAACGTGTATTTTGCAACCATAAACTAAAGGCTGAGAGTTACATAAGTATGAACTACTAATCGTGAGTATTTATTAATTTACATCTTCTTTGCTGTTCTCTATGCTTTTATCGTAAACCAAAACATATTTACAGAAAAAAGCGACAAAATCGCATAACAGCTATCCAGAACTTTGATTTGAACACAACGTTTACGGTTTAAATGAATTATTTTACCTGAACAACATAATTTTAGATCTATTAACAATATGACTGCATCGTAAAATGCGCTTATTTTCACTATTTACAATAAAACCACAATTAATTATTTTTTTAGGATTTACATTTCCTTGGTTGTGGTGTGGATGTTCATCGAAGTCGACTAGATTCCTTGAAATAAAACAAGCTTCGTAGATTGCTGGCGAACACCAATTTTGTTTTTGTGGAGGATATCTTTATTATATTGCTTACCATAGGTCGAAAGTCGTAAATTGATGTATTTTTCAACGATCTGTTTGATAAGCTGTGATGAATGTAGATCTTAAGTTATTGCTTCATGATCAACATCATGCTCGTTGAGTTCAGGAAACAAGCTCTTTTCTGCAAGCTCTTGGTTAATAAGATGAACCATTATAGTCTTCAAGTTTCTCCTGCTGGAAATTTTTTGTTTTTTTGAACGAGTTTCATGAATGAGGACTTGAAAAGCTCTTTCAGATGCAAATATTATTTTGGTTACACCATTAGAAGGGAGAACAAGACCACCACGATTCTTCAAACTGATTAAAGATAAAGATGTAGTAGTTTGGAAGTGTGAATAATTATGATCATGAACTGATGATGATTTTTTTGACTTAAGCAAAAGAGCTCTTGCACATTCAGTACAGGTGATTCTATTGATTATCTTTTTTACAACAAACCCAGCAATATATCCAAGTATTGCTTCTTTGTATGATGACAGTGAACATGATTCTAATCCAGAAACTAAACTACTGACATATTGTGTGTCCTTTGGTGTCATCTCTTCTACTTCAAAGGCTGGAGCATTTCTTTTATTCCATTTTAATGAAAAAATAGAACCAGCAGATTCATTTTCGAAAGTCAAACAGTTTGCATGCTTGGAACCAATGATGGAATTTCTTAAAAGAATTTTTTGTAGACTGGACTTAAATTGTACAATATCTGGATTATTGTTGAAGCCATTCTTATCACGTACGCATGCAAACAGCAGCTCAAGGTGGTCTTGGGACATTTTGTATGTCAGAATGTATTTGAAAGGATCATGTTCCCTTGTAAGGAGAATGTGAGCCAACTCTTTAATGCTCGATGCTGCTACTACAAAACCGAGAACAAATGTTTTTCTTCTATGTTTGATCAGAGGAACACCAGAGTTTGTTTTAAGGGAAAAAAGGTATTCAATTGACTTTTCCAAAGTTTTTTTCCATGTGTTGTGATCACATAAAAAGTGGTTTTAAAACATTTGCCAAATGGACTTCGTATGTTTAATATGTCAAAAAGTTGATCAACAATCCTTATGAATTCTATTGTTGCACTCGCATCACTAAGAGCTGGATGACCAGAAAGCATCAGGTATTCAATGGCATCTGCAACTGAACTTCTGAATGTTTGTGCTGCAACTTTCACATTCATCTTGTGCCTATGGAACTCAATGTGCCCAGTGGACAGCTTATTTGCAAATTTTAACCCTTCTCCCTCTTGAACTTTATGCAGCACTTCAATATGCTCCCATTTGATCAAACTACCTTCACTCGAAACCAGTACTTTAAGATTGGACAATGCATTTCTTGCCAGTTTTAGCATGTGACAAGCATCAGGAACAAAAACAGTGGTGTTCATATGACTCATAGTTAAGAGTATTTAATGTCAGACAAATTTGATCCAAACTCACAACCAAGGGCTTTCATGCAATAAAAATTCGTGGCAGTACCGTCACAAGTCACACTGTACATATTTAGCCCATGTGAAGATGCTAAGCGAAACAATTTGCTAACCAGTGCACTCAAATTTGAAGAATTTATTCCACTACATAACACGTAACCAATAGGACATTTCCAATGTCCTCGTAAACCAACTAACATAAACACAAGAGCTTCAGTAGCAACCTTGTCTGGATCAAAAGCAACAACATCCGCACCAAAATTGACAAACCCTTCATAATTTCCTTTACTTCTGTTGTAAACAACCCCTGACTTAATGTACATACCATCAAAAAGAAGAGCGCAGTCCCTATACTCCGGATTATTTCTTGCTTTTCTTGTAGAAATGAAAACACATCATCAAAAAAACCTGGTTCACAGTTTACGCTGGAAGTCCAGTTTGAGATAGTGCTTGGACATGGCAATGTAAAAATCGTGCGTACAAAATTGTACGCTCGTGGAGAGTAAAAATTAAGTGTTAATGCAAACTTTTTAACTTCGTCTGAGTATCGACGGCCTGTAGCAGCACGATTTTTGTTCTTTAGGTCTGATTTTAAAATTTCCCCACCTACTCCTGAAAAGTTGTTATCGAGAATTGAAGCTGCGTCTGATGAAATAAATTTCTCTTTTTCAAGCTTTTTCACCAAACTACTTAGCGACTGAATTTTCGTTTCCTTACGTCGTAACTTTTGCTTAAGAGTTTTTATTTTTCTTCGCAATTTTTTTTTCCTGGGACTACTTGCTACAGCATTTTGCATTGGTATTGTCTCTTCTATTAGACTTTCCTCGAGCAAATCTATTCTAGCTTTTTTAGCGCTTGGTGATGATGTTTCTGTCTCTCTTCTAGCAGGAGGCTTTCTTTTTGACTTTTTAGATAATAGTCTCTCCGGAAAAGCGAACACTGAAGGTATCGCGTCTAACTTTAACTTGCGTTTATAGGCATTTTCAGTGTTATAATCAACGTGCAAAAAATGATCGCTGCAAAGAAAGCTGCTTGCGTTTGGGGTAAAGTTTTTTCGTTTCATAGCAATGACCCATCTTTTACAGAGGTCCTTATTTTCAATGGGAAATTTGTGAAAAGCTATGTTACTCTCTTTCGAAAAGCGATTTGTACATCCATACGCGGCGCACGATTTGACCATGAAAAATCGAAAATTACGCGCTTTGCAGCTAAAATGTGCTTCTTGAACGTTGTTTTAGAGTTGAGGATGTTATACCTGTGTTTGTTTTTAAGATTGATTGCTTTCAACGTTTTTCAACCATATATTTGAGTCAGTTTGACGTGTAAACTATACTACCGTATATTGCGTGTTATGTTTTTTGCCACCTTTCAAGATGGCTCCCGCGAATAAAATTTGCCTCACCGTGACAACGGCAGTTAGATATCTAGAGGATTGGGTATAAGTCTATGTTCTAATATCTTTTTATTGATCCCGTTGACTGACCTGAATTTTTCAGGTTAATGAGACAATTGTCCAGCAAAGTGCGAGGATTATATCTTCATTCAATTTCAAACACTGCACTGCATATAACAATCTTTCATAATATATTTTTAATTGACAAATTTAACCTGGTAGAGATCTTCCAAGTGTTTTAGAGAAGTTGAAGTTGAGCCAAATTCTTGTTCAGTCTGACGGCGTTTTATGCTCTTTCTCCTAACATTTATAAAAAAGTTTTTGTGGGTATTGTTTTTGCGTAAAAAAACACATTTTGCTTAAGTTTTTTGGGAATGAACAATATTTGAATGTTTTCCCAAAAATTTAGGCTCATTATCATGCCAAATATAAGGCACATTAGCATGCCTAGGAACATAAAATTTACTTAACAATAATGCTATTCTAAAATAGTATAGTCATAAAAATAGTACAGCCAAAAAATGAAGTCATTCTTCGCAGACACAGTAGATTTACAACGCCTGCTTTGCCCGACGATAAAATAAATGACACAGTATGTCTTTGCAAGGGAAAATGTGCTACAAGCCGATGTTATTGTAGGAATAAGAATCGTCCATGTACGGAAAGTTGTGGTTGCCAAACCATGAAATGCAACAATACATGATGAAAATTTAAAAGCCTTGAAAAGCCTTTAGAGAGGTAAACAAAGCAAAACACAGTTTTCTTGTAAGAAAGATTATACAAGATGACAGAATGCTTGCCACAAGGTCAAATCAATTTACGAATTATTTAATAAAAAGGTGTTTTAATACGAAGACAAGGTTCAATTAAGAAAGATGTGAAATCACGATGCTACTTGTTGATTTTCACTGTTCATTTACTTCATTGTCACTTGACAATTCTTTGTCGGTAATTTTGCATCAAAACCTCTCCATACACATCCATTTCCAACTCTTCTGTAAAGAAAGAAAGGCATTAACAGAGTTCAGTGCAAAAATGGATGCAATTACAAAACATCTATTTTTGAGCAACAAGCAGTGCATTTAGGTTTATACAGTTGTAAATATTTAGCACATCGATTGGTGCACAAATGCCATCTATCCAATCAATGGAGATAGACCTATTTTTGGCAATTTTCATACATGGTTGAACAGATTTGGTGGGGCACAGTGACAATTTCCATATTGCTGCTTGGTAATTGGCACATTTGATGTGTTTCTACAGACAATCTTTATTAGGAGGCAAGTTGTATCTAGCCATGTTAATGCCAATGCCAGGCATTAAGTTGGTAAATCTTACATTTTACCTCCTCCAGATTCTTGTGAAGTTCTATTGCTTGCAAACTATTCTTCAATTTCCAGCTACTTTTTCAAGAGCTTTGACAGCTTGGGCATCTCTTGACAGAAGCTTACAACTGCACACTATACTATGTCCATAAAACAAACTGGTTGTGTCACAGCTTACTAATAAAACACATGAATACTAATTAGTTTTCAAATTGTTCAGATTGTTCAGCATTTTAGAGCATTTAGCTATTAAAATTTTCTTGTTTTGAATTGTTTGATTTGTCAAAGCAGCACTCAGAATTATTCAAAAAAGATTTTACCAAGAAGAAAAGTTTGAAAAAATCTGTCAAAGTTTATAACACCCTTAACAGATTTGTGAAAAAAGAGAATATGGTTGGCAAATGTGTTTCCACTGAAGACCTTCTTGGTGGAAACTTTCCTTGGCTCAGCAAAAGCAATGAGAAAGGTACTGACATAAATATCATTTCATGACAAACATTGTCTTGGCTTTAGATTCACTTGTTTCTTCAATAATGAGCATATTTTCAGGTGGAATGTCTTTACCTCTTAAAAGAAAACCTGTTGAGATTTTCTTAACTTGTCTTCAGCTGGTTTTCTTGAAGGTGTAGTTGAGGGGATGTCTATTAGCAACAAGAATATAGCTAAGGATTGTGAAGTGTGTACGCTGTACTAATCCCAGCCAATCCTCCGAAGAAATTTTATGGCGTCCTCAACAGGGTGAGCTTTGCATTCTCATATTTTTATAATATTAAACTATATAGTATATAGTACCTATATTTTATAAAGTATAAAATACAATATATATTAAATTTTAGTTATATAATAAAGATATATTGAATATATATACAATACGAACTCGTAGGAAGCTACCTCCTTTCTCAACTACAAAACATCACAACAGACATAGGACTGTATTGAGACGACGGACTTGCCATTTCAAACACCACACCACGAGAAACAGAGAACATTAAAAAGGAAATATGCCGGATATTCAACAACAATGGACTACGCATAACTATTGAAGCAAACAAAAAAATCATCAACTTCCTTGACATCACCTTCAATCTTAACAATTTTCATATCGCCCTTACACAAAACCCAACACTTCTCTGCAATACGTCCACAGCGAAAGCAACCTTCCACCAACCATAACGAAGAACATACCCGACGCCATCAACAAACGTCTATCTTCACTATCATCCGACAAAGCATCATTTGACCAAATAACTGCACCATACCAAAAGCACTCGAAAACGGATACCAATACACATTAAAATTCGACTCAGACGCTACTACCAAACGGAAAAACAGACTTCGACAAAATATACTTTGGTACAACCCTCCATTCAGCAAAACGTCTACACGAACATTGGCCACAAATTCCTTTCATTAATCGACAAACACTTCCCCATAGACCATAAACTCAGGAAAATATTCAACCGTAACACCATCAAACTCAGCTACAGCTGCATGAACAATATCGAACAAATAATCAACAACCATAACAAACATATACTGAGAACATCAGACAAAACTAACGACAACACCGCGAACAAAAGACACTTACAAAACATGCAACTGCCGACAAAAACAAAACTGCCCACTTAACGGAAACTGCCTGCAGTCATCCGTTGTTTACCAAGCTACTGTAAAACGCAAAGACAATAACACAACTGAGACGTACATTGGACTTACAGAAAACGAATTTAAGACTAGACATAGAAATCACACAGCCTCTTTCCACCACAAAAAACTACGAAACTCGACCGAGCTCAGTAAGCACATTTGGACCCTTAAAGACAGCAATATCGACCACGACATCTCATGGAACATCATTACACACAGCAAACCATACAACAGCACCAGTAAAAGATGCAACCTTTGCCTCAAAGAAAAATTCTTCATCCTCTACCAACCATCCAAATCATCCCTCAATAAACGCAACAAACTTGTTTCCTCTTGTCGCCATAGATCCAAAACACTCCTATGTAATTTGTAACCATACACCTTAATTAATTCTCTAACTTTCATCTAACTTGAAACTATACACCTTGATTAATACACTAACTTCCGTCATCTTGTATATATATTTTAAGCATTTAAGTATTTTATTCATTAAATCCCCTGAAGAGTGAGCAATCACGAAACAGGCTTGTCGAGATGAATCTGTAGTTTTGTGATTTTTCTCAACACCACTACACATATTTACGCTCTGCTCTCGGGCATCGAGTACTGTTTTATACGGAAAATCATAAATTATAAACTTCCTATTGAATATATATATATATATATAAGTTTGAAAATTTGTAATCCAGGCATTGAATGTATAAAAGATTAACGTTTCTCCGGATTTTAAATGATTTTTATTGAGCTTTCGACTCGTTGCTTCGAGCCTTCATCGGAGAAACGTTAATCTTTTATACATATATATATATATATATCATAAAATATATTAATGATATTACATATTATTGTGCATAGTATTATAAATAAATAAATATCTAATGTTTTTTGTCCACCTATAAACATCTCTATGAAGTGTGCATAAGTTCGGTGATTAACAGAACTATAGTTTTATAATGATTAAAATGATTTATCTTATTATTTAGTTTTAGATATTTTGCAGTTTATATTTTTTTGCATTGATGATGTGGTTACCGGATGATTGATGATTGCATTTAGCCAGGCTGGAAAGTATGTCGTTTTTCGACGAGATCTCCAGTGCGCACTATAAAATTACTGGTGTGCTGGTGTGCAAAAGAAATTTTATGGTGCACTAGTGCGCATATGACGATCAAAGCATAATAATATTAAATTAATATACGAAGTATCGCTAATCTCGGTGTACACAGGCTGTTTTCAGTGTTTTGTTGTGTCAAACATGTTGTACATCGCAAAATCTTTGGAAGGAAAAATAGTAATTTAAGGAATATTGATGATACAGTGTGTGATATTGCAAGAGACTGAATCTTGCTTTGTAAGCCTTTGTTGCTATTAAAATATCGGAAGCTACTGTTTATAAAAATGTCATTTCTCAACGCATAACTTCCGTTTGAATTGGATGTGAATATCTCAAATTTCGCCCACGGCTGCACAGAACGGCCATATCAACGGCCATCATATCCTTGTGCCTCCGAGGTAGAGTTTTGAGCCAGAGGCTAGGACAAGGACAGTCTGATGTAAGACCCGTGGATCTCGCTGTCACCGTCCCAGCTCGCTAGGCCATGACAGGAGAACCCAGGTGTAAAGGGTGGGGCCAGTACTGCGCACACTGCACTTCACTTTAAAACTCATCTGCGCAGGCTCGAAGGATACGTTCAAGTC